GCCGATCTTTGAGTTAGACATGGATCAGATAGGTGCTGCTTTGCATGCTTTGTATTCTAACGCTTCTAGTGTTGCTGGATCTTATTACCCTGTGTACTCTAGCCTTGGTGTAGCACCATTGTGTAGCTTAGCCTCCCCTGCTGCGTCAGGCGTAGGACTGCCTAGTTTGCCTAGCCTAGTCTTTGCACCAGCCCCGTTCCCGGCCTCCGCCGATGCTTCGCTGTCCTTCACTCTCGACTCCGGTGCTTCAGCCTGCTTCTTCCGCGACCGCTCCGCGCTCACGCCACTTGCTACGCCTGCTGTTGTCTCTCTCGTTGACCCCTCTGCGGGTCATGTCGTCGCTCGCAGTTCTACATCCCTTCCCTGTCCAGCAGTTCCCTCGGCCTCCCTTACAGGTCTCCACGTTCCCTCGTTCTCGAGGAACCTGGTTGGTGTCGGCTGTCTCCAGGACCTCGGCGTCACCACCACGTTCCCCAGGCACGAGCGGTTCGCTGTCTGTTCTGAGTCTGTCTCAGGTTCCCTTCTTGCGACGTTCCCTCGGGACCCGGTGTCCGGTCTGTTCACCCTAGACACCGCTTTCCCCCCGGTTGGTGCGTCCTCCCAGGTCGCTGCAGCTTGCTCGTGTCGGTCCCTCACTCACCCGTCCCTTCTCTGGCACCACCGCCTAGGTCACCCTGCACTCCCACGTCTGCGTCACATGTCCCAGCACGGTCTTGTCTTAGGTCTCTCTGCTTCGCTCCCTGCCCTTCCTCCCTTGACTGCGCCGTCGTGCACGCCTTGCGTCGAGGGCCAGCTCCGCTGCTCCCCTCACTCCTCCTCGCTGCGCCCTGCTACTGCCCCCCTTCAGACCCTGCACCTGGACGTTTGGGGCCCTGCCCCCATCACCGGACCGCGAGGTGAGCGCTACGTCCTTGTGCTCGTCGACGACTACACGCGCTACACCACGGTGTTTCCCCTGGAGCGGAAGGCTGACGTGCCCGACGTTCTTCTCCCGTGGGTCGTACCTGCTCGTCTTCACCGCGGTCTCCCCGTGTTTTGTCCCCACTCTGACCGTGGCTGCGAGTTCGCCTCTGGTCGGCTTGGAAAGTTCTGTCGTGCGGAGGGCATCACCCAGTCGTACACGTTGCCGGACTCACCACATCAGAATGGGGTCGCTGAGCGCCGCATCGGCTTGGTCATGGAGGTCGCCCGTACCTCCATGATTCATGCCGATGCCCCCATTTTCTGTAGCCGTTCGCTGTTCGCTACGCTGCTCACCAGCTTAACCTGTGGCCACGCTCCCAGCGGCCGCAGGTTTCGCCGACCCTCCTTTGGACCGGGTCCCCCGGTGACGCGTCTGCGTTCCACGTCTGGGGCTGCCTTGCTCACGTTCGTGCCTCTGGCACGGACAAGCTCACTGCCCGCACTGTCCCCTGTGTCTTCCTCGGTTTCCCCCTGGACTCATCTGACTGGCTTTTCTACCACCCGCCGCCTCATCGCTTCCTCCACTCTCGTGACGTCACCTTTGACGAGTATGTCTCCTTCTACCGCCGCTTCCTTCACCGAGGTCTCCCGGTTGCCCCCCCCCTGTTCCTTGCTCCCTCTCCCCCGGTAGCCCCTGCCCCTCTCCCGCCTCGTCCTGCCGCGTCTGGTGTCTCTCACGTCACTCCCCTCCCGTCGGTTGTCCCCGTTGAGGAGTCTGCCTACTCTGGTGGTACCCCCGGTCCGTCCTTGCCACGTCCCCCTTCCCCGGTGCCTCCGCCCCCACTGTCGCAGTCGCGGACCTCGCTGCAGCCGCCGCCGCCGTCGCCGCCGCAGCCGTCGCCGCCCCTGTCGTCGCCGCTCTTGGCCCCTGGGGGTGTTGGTGTTGAGGTGGGTGTTCGTCCTGCATCTTCTGGGGGTGCCGCTGGTGTTGGAGAGGGTTCTCGCTCTGGAGGTGTTGGTTCAGGGGGTGCTGCTGTTGAGTGTTCTGCCGATGGTCGTCCTGCCTCTGCCGGTCCGAGGGTTCCGGCCCAGCCGTCGCCGCCACCGCAGCAGCCGTCGCTGCCGGTCTCCGCTCTCCGCCTGCTCAACCTTCCCTCCCCGGACCGCGCGCCGGTGTCTCCCCCACCGCCTGCTGACCTTCCTGTCTACGGTCCTGTGTTCCCGCCGCCGGACTCGTCTCCGGCCCGTCCCTCCTCCCCCTACTGTGTCCCCTTCGCCGTCCCCTGACCCTACACCTCCGTCTCACGTTTGGGGGTAGCTGCGGTTCGGAGGTTCGAACCTTCAGAGGTTCGGTCAGCTACGTTCACCCCCAGGCGAGGGAACTGCATCGACGTAAGTGCCCGGTGGATCTCCAAGATGCCATCTCCTGCTCCCATGGCAGCTATCCCACTGCGAGGTTCGGAGGTTCCGGTCTTTCAGTTCTCCTCCGCACAGCCCACACCTCTACCTGTAGACCATGGGCTCTCCGCTCCTGTTCCTGAGGAGCCCGTAGAGCCCCAGTGGCCCCCAACGCAGAGCTGGTGGGTTGCCTCATGTTCTTGATGACTTGCACTCGCCCAGATCTCGCATACCCTCTCAGCATCCTGGCTCGCTTTGTGGCTACAGCCAGACACCGACCTCAGCACTGGTCTGCCGCTAAGAGGGTTTTGCGTTATCTTGCTAGTACATCGGGCATGGGGTTAGTGCTAGGAGGACGCAGGCCAGTGGTCCTTACTGGGCACACAGACGCTTCTTGGGCAGACGACTCTGAGACGCTCAGGTCGTCTCAGGGCTACTGTTTTAGCCTTGGTTCGGGTGTTATCTCTTGGAGATCCATTCGCTCGTCGTCTGTAGCTCATTCCAGCTGTGAGGCTGAGATCTACGCTGGTGCCATGGCGGCACAGGAGCTCCGCTGGCTGACCTTCTTGCTCACAGACTTAGGTGAGCGGCCTAGCTCTGCCCCGGTCCTGTACACTGACAACAGGGCCATGATACTCCTGTGTCAGGAGCCTCGGCTTGAGGGCAGAGCGAAGCATATCCAGCTGCAGTACTTCCTCCTGCGCGAGCTACAGCAGCGCCGCCAGGCCCGCGTAGTTCACTTGGCCTCAGGTGCCAACACAGTTGATATCTTTACTAAGGCGCTTGCGCCTAAAGATTATCAGCAGCACTTTGTACAGCTTGGTCTTGTTCCTGTAGCTACTCACCTGTTAGGATCCTGATTGTGTACTCTCAGTTATATATGCCTGTCAGACTGGCCTTGTGGCCTTACCTCCAGTGGCTGGACTAGTAGTGCCGCCCTGGCTTGCTTTAGTTTTGTTTGTATTCTTGCTGACTGGTCTTCAGACCTCTGCCTCAGTGGTTGGACTAGTAGTGCCACCCTGAGCTGTTTGCTTCTTGCTTAGCTTCACCCCTTGTCTAGCCTAGGGGGTGTGACAACTTATACATGTTAGCTGTGTACAAGTTATAGGCTAGACTGGGGTATGTTTCTAATGAGTACAACCAGCTAGTATTTGTTCTAGGTTTCCACTTCTAGTTCATCATTCAGTTCTTACTTTAACAGTCATGTGTGTAGGGTGGGCTCACTACTACCAAGCCTAGGAGGTGTGTCAAATTATATATAAATATATGTATTTGGTTAGACTTGATAGATATGCTATACTACTGAATCAGACTGTAGAGGGAACAACCCACTCCTTGTTACCCTCTCTCTTTTAATCTTCTCATCTTCTCTCTCGTAACTTTTTCTAGCACCTAAAACCTCTCGCCATTGCTATGCCTAGCTTTTAGCTAGCTCCTTACCTACTTTCAAGATGATAATTACTGGCATTTCTAGTGCTTCAAGCAATCGTAAGGCTCGTTATTAAAATTCGGCGCCAATTCCTGAAGGATAATTCAGAATGAGCATCATACTCTTTTTTTCATATCGCTGATTTATCAGCGTTTTTTTTTAGGAAGGCTGAAAATTTCGCCCTTTTTCCAAGGGGAAATGCTGCAAAATCAGCCTAAATGCAGGGGGCAATGATGATAAATGAGCGTGACCCAAAACCAATCTTATGACCTGATGTGGATGCATGATGCATCTGTATAGTATAATTGTTGAAGCATACTTCAATAACAATAAATGTTGTAGGGCTAGTCCGAAAGTTTGTATGCACATGCAGTATCACTAAGTCCATATTCTTAGCATCTTATCGTACTAGATGGGAAAATAAGCAATATCATAGGAAATATCTAGTGCTGGACCTTGTGTCAGCATACACAGTCGATGCCCAGCCTTATCGCAGCTCAACCTGGCGCCCAATCAGAATCCGTTCGCAAAACCCCCGATATACGGGCAATGGGAGATCCGTTTGAGTCACTCATGATTGCGTCTGCGACCAACATATAGCAAGGGACAAGTCGTTGCCGACGAGGCTTCGTCGCCACGGAACTGTGCACCGCCGTCGCCTGATCGCTTCACAATAGTCGCACACTGGCAACAAACATCGCCTCACAAGTCCCCCCCCACAAATACCCACCCATTTCGCCGTGTGCTCGTGCGAAAGCCTCATTTGCCCGTGGCGAGGGAATGCGAACTACATGACTGATTGAATTTTCGGCACCCTAAAATCTTGTGCGACTCTGACGAGCTTCGTCTGTAACCATGTGATTCTGGATATTTGCAGCTCAGGAGGTGAAGTGGTGGTGTCAGCAGTTCCCACGAGGAGCTGTGTTTGCCGGAACCTACAGTCGCGGCAGCGCTCTCTGGAGTGCATTTTTTCAAGAGGACATCCTTGCCGGTGTCAACTCCCCTGGATTTCAGGGGTTTCTGGAGAGCAAAAGCCTGCCCAAATTTTATCACAGCGAACATTCTGCAGTCTACACCGCTGGCCGATGTGAAGGCTATTGCGGGCGCTCCTGGCGGTAAATTTTTCATAAATTCGACCATCGTCCTCCCGAACCGAACCAGAAATATCAAGGATCAAGGGCCAGATCAGCAGCAGGGTGGAGTTCGGTGGGTGGTTGGCAGGCTCATTGTGGATTCATTTCATGGGTGTTGGCTTTGACCTAGATACCACCGTACAGTACGGTAGAGGAAACCAAGGGCTTTCCGCTGCCACTCCTGTCATGCCTTCAGCAAACCCTGCTGTATTTATCCTTCCGACGGCTGCGAAACCTAGGTTCACTCCGCTTTGCTTGTCCCCAGTGTGCTTCTTTCGCAGACCTGTTTCGCACTGAACTCGGTGTTCCCGAAAGCAGACGACGTCGTAAGGGAGACGCGGAGATAGCTAAACGACAGTCGCAAACATCCGCAGAGGTCGAACACCGTTGAAGACGGAGGAAGGAACGTAAAGGCCATCATTTGCGTTTCCTCACTGTGAGCAATCCTGCCAGCCTGGCAACCTAGCTGCACGCCTGTTATTTATTCGGCTCTCGCCTTCGCTTACTCTCTGACGCACGCGCTTAACGCAACAGGCTTAAGCGAGGACAAAGCAGCGGGGAATGCAGTCGAACGCTTTGAGCGTGTCAGATCCAGTGAATCCGGATCCTAGTCGGCGCTGATTGGTGCACTGCGCTGAGAAGTCTGGTAACGAGAAGTTTCCGCGAAAGAGTGGGGGTACGTGACAGGCCGTAGATGCGAAACGTCCTAGAGGCTTCCGTAATGGCTGATGCAGGAAGCGTCGAAATGCAAAACGGTGAAGAACGGTGGAGAGGAGCGGCGTCGGAAGGGGAGGGGGTGGAAGCCAAGCAAGGCGAGTTGAGTGGAAGAGAGGGGGAGAAGCGAGAGGAGCAGCAGGAGGGGCGGGAAGCGCGGGGAGGACAACGAAGACGGGGTGAAGGGTGACGAGATGAAAGGAAGCGAGGTGAACGGCAACGGGGTGAACGGCAACGGGGTGAACGGAGACGGGGTGAACGGCAACGGAGTGAACGGCAACGGGGTGAACGGCAACGGAGTGAGCGGAGACAGGGTGAACGGAGACGGGGTGAGCGGAGACGGGGTGAGCGGAGACGGGGTGAGCGGAGACGGGGTGAGCGGAGACGGGGTGAGCGGAGATGGGGTGAAAGGTGACGGGGTGGTCGGAGAGGGGGTGGTGGGCAGTGCGGGGTCTCAGAAGCTGAGCATCGAGGAGGCGACGGAGCGGATATGCGCCATTGCGCGCGGTATCCTGTTCTCGGAGCGGCGGAGAGCGGGCGGTAGGGGGGAGGTGGCGGAAGGAATCGCGGAGGCGGTAGCGTGGGGCGGAAGGGGCCGGCGGACCGAGGAGCGGAGGGAAGAAGGGAAGGGAGGAAAGGAGAGAAGAGGAGGAGAGAGGAGGGGAGGAGGAGAAGAGAGAAGAGGTGGTGAAGCGGGGAGAGGAGGCGAGTCAAAAGGAGGAGGAGAAACGAAGAGAGGAGGAGGAGCGAGGTGAGCAGAAGAAACGAGAAGAGGAGAGATTACAGGAAGCGGGGCGAGACAGGGAGAGGGCCATAGAGAGGCTCAGGTCGCTGGCAGGCAGGCCGCCTGACAATTGCTCCGGGGCAGCCGGGGATCGCTCTGGGGCAGCTGAGGATCGCTCTGGGGCAGCTGAGGATCGCTCTGGGGCAGCTGAGGATCGCTCTGGGGCAGCTGGGGATCGCCTTGCTGGTGCTCCTCCTGGCGCTGCTGCTGATGGTGCCAGTGCTGCTGGTGCTGCTGCTGCTGGTGCTGGTGCTGCCGCTGTTGTTGCCAGCAAGAGTGATGATCAATATGATGACGAGGACGATGATAGTGGCAGTGACGATGACGAGGACAGTGCTGACGAGGAGAGCAGTCTGTCTGACGTGGACAGGATCTGCATGCTCGTGCACAGCGATGTCTTTGTGCGAAGGCAAGTGCCCCCTCCCAAACCACCTCCCAAACCACTTCAAACCATCTCTTAACCACCTTGAATGCCGCTTTTCTAGGGTGCGAAATACCTGCAGTCTCTGATTGCCCACCTTCCCCCCCTCTCCGCTAACCCCTCCCCCTCCCCTACTCCCCTCTGCTGCCACTCTCTCCCGCCAGGCTCTACCACATTTGCTACATTATACCCACCACCCCCCAACCACTACCCAACCTCCCCCCCCCTCCTCTGCTCCCCCTCCTCTCCTCTTCCCCCCTCCTCTCCTCTTCCCCTCTCCCTCCCCTTCCCCCTCCCCCTCCCCCTCCCCCTCCCTCTCCTCCTCTCCTCTGTCACTCCCTCCCCCAAGGCTCTCTACCACATCTGCTACATGGCCGAAGCGTTTGAGGCGCCTCAAAAAATCGACTCGCTCCCCCCTCTCCCCCCTCCCCCTCTCTCCCCCCCCCCACCCCTCTCTTCCCCCCCCCCCTCCCTCCCCTCTGCTGCCACGCCTCCCACCCCCCCAGGCTCTATCACATCTGCTACATGGCGGAAGCTGCCAGGAAGCTGGGCTTTGACAGGTCAGCAGCAGCGTTCGTCCCTCTGTGCCGCGGGCTGGCGAGTGACAGCGAGCCCGAGATCCGCCAGACGCTCGCCGAGCAGATCCCGCAGCTCGTGCGCGCGTATGCCCCGGTATGTGTGTGCCCCCACCTTGGTACGTGGCTTGTGAGTCGGCTGACAAGGGGCTGGCGAGTGACAGCAAGCCCTGAGATCCGCCACACGCTGCCCGAGCAGATCCTGCAGCTCGTGTGCGCCTACGCCCCGGAATGCTCTGCACCCGTTTGTCTTGCCTTGCTGCACCCGTATGGCTCTCCTCCACGGCTCCAGTATGCTGCCACTCCATAGGGGCCTGGCGTGGCGAGTGACAGCGAACCCGAGATCCTCCAGACACTCGCTGAGCAGATCCCGCAGCTCGAGTGCGCCTATGCCCCGGTATGATGTATGATGTATGTACTGGTATGGCATGGCCCTCCTTGGAAAGGGGCCTGGCGAGTGACAGCACGCCCGAGATGATGAAACGCTCGCTGAGGAGATCCCTCAGTGCGAGCCTATGCCCCGGTACGTGTTGTGTTGCCAGTATGGTCCCACTCTAATGGTCTGGTAAGGCCCCATCTACCCGTCTATCAACCCATGATGGGCGCAGTGAGGTGAATCCGCGGCTGATGGACGCATGCCCCCCCCATCCATCCGCGTAGTCAAGAAACGACCCCCCCCCTTCCCCCCATCCACCCGTTGACTTGACCCCTATCATCAGGCGGGCAGCAGGGCGTGCGGTGCGCTGATGGAGCTGCTGGGCGTGGCGAACCAGCTGCTCATGGACGAAGCCGAGGAGGTGAGAGGAGAAGAGGGAGGGGTAGAGAACGGTGGGGAGGTGTGAAAGGTGTGGTGATGGTGGTGCGCAGATGGAGCGGATGGGCGTGGCGAATCAGGTGCTCATGGATGAATGAAGCGCAAGAGGTGGGGGTTGGAGAGGGGAAGGGGAAGGAGGGGGGGGAGTTGTGGGGTTGGAGGGGGGGGGAGAGTGGTATAAGATTGGAGAAAGGTGAGCGGGGAGGGGATGGCGGATGATGGGTGAGAGGTGAAGGGGAGAGAGAAGTGTAAGGAGGGGAGGATTGCTCATGGCAATCCTCAATGCACTCCTCCCTGCAGATTCAGGGGACAATGGATGGAGGGGGGGTATGGAGGAGGGGTATCCACTATGGTGCTGGATGCTCTTCTGCGCCCGGCACTCCCCTGCCTCTCCGCCCCAGCAGGTGCAGATGGAGAGGCAATGCAGGGGGGGTATGTGGCAATGATGGCGTATGGGGCGGAGGAGGATGCAGAGGTGGAGGCCAGAGAGGGTGCTCGATGCTCTTCCACTCCTGGCTTACTCTTACACCCTTTCTTCCCCAACCTTTCCTCTACGCCCCAGCAGGTGCAGGTGGCGATGGAGGGGGGGTATGTGGCCATGATGGCGTACGGGGCGGAGGAGGATGCAGATGTGGAGGCACTGGTGCTCGATGCTCTTCTGCGCTTGGCATCGCTCCGGCACTCGGAAACCGCACGCCTTTGTGCCGCCACCGTGAGCCAATTGAGCAAACCCGTTCTTAATCTTTCTTTCTATCTTACATCCTTGGTGAGTACGGGCTTCGAGGTCGCTACATTCACGTGCACTATTGATCTCTCCCCGGCTCTCGAGGTGACTTTTGAGTCGACTCAAAAGCGTTGTATGATATTGTAACGAGGTGACTTTTGAGTCGACTCAAAAGTCATCTCTCCCCGGCTCTCCTCATGGTCCACTCCCTCCCACGTTTCCACACAACCCATCCACCCCTCCCCTCCCCCCGCCCCCCTCCTCTGCCCCCTTCCCCTTCCTCCCCCTTCTGAAGGTCCTTGTGAGCTGTGCGGCTGTGGTGAGCCGGTCTCTCCTTGAGATTCCTCCCGGTTCTTGTTCCCCCCCTCGTCTGTCTGTCTCTGTGTGCGCCGCCTCCTTCTCTGCAGGCCCTTGTGTGCTGTGCGGCTGTCACGAGCCAGTCCCTCTTTGAGCACCAAGTGGCGTGTCAGTCCTATGCGCTTGCTCCTCCCTAATCCTGCCCCCCCCCAACACCCCCACCCCTGTGTGTGTGTGTGTGTGTGTGGGCCGCGTCCCCCTTGGCAGGTCCTTGAGCCGCTGTGCACCTGTGACAAGCCGGTCCCTCTTTGAGCACCGCGTGGTGCCACACCTCCTCGCCCTCGCTGCTGACCCGCACTTCCAAGTCAGAAAGGTAAAGTGCCAACTTGCTTCCAAGTCAGAAAGGTAAAGTGCCAACTTGCTTCCAAGTCAGAAAGGTAAAGTGCCAACTTGCTTCCAAGTCAGAAAGGTAAAGTGCCAACTTGCTTCCAAGTCAGAAAGGTAAAGTGCCAACTTGCTTCCAAGTCAGAAAGGTAAAGTGCCAACTTGCTTCCAAGTCAGAAAGGTAAAGTGCCAACTTGCTTCCAAGTCAGAAAGGTAAAGTGCCAACTTGCTTCCAAGTCAGAAAGGTAAAGTGCCAACTTGCTTCCAAGTCAGAAAGGTAAAGTGCCAACTTGCTTCCAAGTCAGAAAGGTTCGCTGTTAGCCAAAGATCATGCCACTCCTCGCCTCGCCTCCCACTGGATTGCCTCGGCTCTCTGCCCTCTCCCCCTCCGCCCCCCTTGTCTCTCACTCTCCCCTTTCTTCCCCTGACTCCGTTTCCCCGCCCCATTCCTCTCTCCCCCTTCGCCTCACCCCACTCTCTCCCCACTCCCTCCTCCCCTTCCCCCACACCCCCTCCAGGCAGTGGCACAGGGCCTGCCGCACTGCTGCCGAGCCATGGGGGGCAATGCTGCATGCCTGGACGGCTCCCTGGTGAGTGGATAACCTCAACTTCTCACGTCCCCCTGCGTCGCTGCTCGATTCCCTTCTTCTCACGCAACCCTGCCCCAAATGCCACCGCCCCTTGAAAAACCATAATTGCATGGGTAGGGAGAAGCAGTGGCGAAGTAAAGGGCCCTGGGTGGGGACATGTTCCTAGCCCATGGTTGCAAACGTCTTTTCTCTCTGTTCCTCCCTCTCTGACCATACCCCTCCCACACTCCATCCCCAGCTCCCCCTCTTCGCCTCGCTCTGTTCAGACATCTCCTGGCCGGTGCGAGTGGCTTGTGCCGAGGGCATAGAGGTCACGAGCTTACCTCTTTGCCCTCTTCTTTGCTCTCTCCTCCCCACCCGTGATCCATCCCCAGCTCCCCCTCTTCGCCTCGCTCTGTTCAGACACCTCCTGGGCGGTGCGAGTGGCATGTGCCGAGGGCATAGTGGCAGTGGCAGAGGCTGTTGCTCAGATCCCCAAGGGCGCCGCTGTTAGCAGTGATGGCGGTGGTAGCGGCAGCGGTGGCAGCAGCGTCGCTAGTAGTAACGGCAGCAGTGGCAGCGAGGGAAGCATGGGCAGCCAGGGAAGCAGCAGTAGTAGCAGCAGTGGTGGCAGCAGCGGCAGCAGCAGGAGCAGTGGGAGCAGTGGCAGCAGTGGGAGTAGGGGGAGCAGTGGGAGTGAGCGTGTGAGCAGCAACGGCGAGGAGGGCTGGAGTCGGGGGAGGAGAGGAACGCCATTGGAGCAGCAGCTGCTGCTGAAGGAGACACGGCAACAGGAGCTGGAGGAGGTGGGGAGAGAGGTGCTTCTGCAGTTGCTACAGCTGGGGTTGAGACAACAGCAGCAGCAGCATCAGCAGATGTTGGTGCTGGAGCAAGGGGGCGAGAGGCCGAGATCGTACCTCTTGCTGATGGAAGCGGTTCAGGGAGTGCACGGTTTGAAAGGGACATTCAGGCACAAGTGATGCGAGGTGGTGGAAGGAGGGCGGAGCGTGTTGGGGAGATTGAGGAGCTTGGGGATGCTAGTGAGGAGGAAGTGACTGGTGTGAGTGAATCAGGTGTGACTGAGTGTGATGTGAGTGAGGCGGAATCACATGCAGCAGTTGCAGGCTGCAGGGTAGGGGTCACAACAGCAGACGTGGAGGGAAGGGGAATGGAGGAAGGCCGAGGTGAGGAGAAGGGGGGAGGGGAGGAGGAGGGGGATGGTGGGCGAGAGGAGGAGGGGGAAGGCCGTTGGGGAGTCTTCTTGGGTGAGGCAGCGCACTCAGCTGATCGGGGAGCTCATGGGGCGACTGGCGAGAGATGTAAGAGCGGTGGGGTGCGGTGTGGTGCGGTGCGGTGCGGTCTGGCGTGGTGTGGTACTACAAGTGGGGGTCAAAAAGTCGGGGTGGAGCTTTGTGCAATTGGGGGTAACTAAACTCACCTCCCGTTTTTATCACCTTCTCCTGTGCTCAATTCTGTGCTCAATTCTGTGCTCAATTCTGTGCTCAATTCTCCCTTGCACCCAATTCTCTTGTGCCCACTCTCCCTTGTGCCCTCTACTCCTGCTCTCGCCACCCTACACCCAGCCGTCAGCGTGGGTGCGGGAGGCCGCTCTTCAGATGCTGGGGCCTCTGCTCTCCGTGCTAAGGGGCGCTGACATGCGGGTGAGGGGGGGGGGGCATGCGGGTGAGGGGGGGAAATGCGGGTGAGAGGGGGGACTTGCGCGTGATAGCAGGGGACGTGGGGGTAAGAGCAGGGGGAAAGGGGGAAGTGGGGGGGGGATCAGGGGAATGGGGGCGGGTTTGAATCTACTCATATTGTCAAATGTTTGGGGCATCTACTGTCTGTGTTGCAGGGCGCTGGTGAGCCCCTCCCCTCACCCCACCCTCAGGACCTGACGCACATGTTCACCCGCAGGCTAGCACTCCTCTCCCCCTTGCCCCACCCCGTGTCCTCCTCCCCTCCCCTCCTCCCTCCCCCTGTTCACCGGTTCCTCGTCTCGACTGATCTCTCCGTGCCCCTTCTCCCCTCCTCCCCCCTCAGGACCTGGTGCACATGTTCACGAGCATGGCACAGCCGGGGCCGGTGGATGCTGACGATGATGACGACCGCCTACCGCTCTACTGCGCCTTCAACTTCCCAGGTCAGGGCTAGCTTAGGGTTGGGGTCAGGGCTAGCCTAAGGTTGGGGTCAGGGCTAGCTTAGGGTTGGGGTCAGGGCTAGCCTAAGGTTGGGGTCAGGGCTAGCTTAGGGTTAGAGTTCTGGGTGTAGGTGTATGGACCTGTCCCTTTTCTGTGTGCCAGTTGCTTGCGGGTTTGGGGGTGTAGTGCAGGGTTGGGCTCTCCCCGGTACTGCACCTTGAAGTTCTCCCCACCCTTCACTGCTCCCCTTCCCTCTGTGTGCTCTCCCCTGTGCGCTCCCCCCGGTGCTCCTCCCCCCCCGTTCGTTCCCCCCTGTGCCTCGCACATGCGGATGCTGCTGCGGCCGTATTCAGCTGCTCCTTCCACGCCCTACCCGTGCATCTGTGCGCGTGTCTTCAGCCCCCCACTCCTTTCCATCGCCTTCCCGCCCATAATCCCCCCTTCCCCCTTCCCCTTCCCCTTCCCCCTTCCCCCTTCCCCTTCCCCCTTCCCTCTTCCTCTCCCTTTCCTGCTGCACATTCTTCCCATTCCCTCGCCTCGCAGCCGTGGTGTTGAGTCTGGGCGCCTCCGATGGGGCCGAGCTGCCACCAGCAATGACAGCCAGCTGCTCGGCCCTCCCCACATGTGAGTAGCGCCTCCCCCATGTGAGTACTGCCTCCCCCCATGTGAGTAACTGCCTCCCCATGTGAGTACTGCCTTCTTCCCATATGAGTACTGCCTCCCCCATGTGAGTACTGGCCTCCCCCCATGTGGGTACTGCCTCCCGCAAGGTGATTAGCGCCTCCCTGCATCCCCCCATGTGAGTCAAGCTGTTGAGCAGCACGCAGCAGACAGCCATCTGCTCGCTTCCTCCCAGCGTACGATCGTGCCCCCATCTCCCTGCTTGAGTCAAGTGGTCAGGCTGAATGCTTCACTCATTCGCCTTCTCGAGAGCCAGTGTTTTCAAAGCTCATTATGATTGTATGACATCTGACCGTCTCTGGCTTCTACTCCACTCCCTAGCCATTCATTCACACTTACTCTGTCTGCCCCTCCCCCTGCCCCTTCCCTTCTCCCGGCCCGTTCGTTTCGCTCTCCCAAATCCCTTTACTCCCGCCTCTCCTCTCCACCAATCGCTGCGTGACAGCTGGCGGTGCGGCGCACGCTGGCGTGTCACCTGCATGAGCTGGCGGGACTGGCTGGGGCCGCGCATCGCGGTGCAGAGCCTGCTGCCGGCGCTGGAGTCACTGGTCACAGATGAGGACGAGGTGGGGGATGGGAGATAGGCGGGTGGGGTGTGGTGTTGTGGGGTGGGATGGGGTGTTGATGGGGTGTGGTGTGGTATGGTATGGTGTGATGTGGTGTGGTGAGCAGTGTCTTGCGGGTGACTGGGGCTGTTGCTGTTGATGTATTGCCGTGCACCGACTGATTCCCATCCACAAGCACGTTGGTTGAGGAGGCCCGGCTTGTGGATGAGGAAGAGTCAGGGGCTTGAAAGTGGTGAGCAGGTGTAGTAAGTGCTGAGCAGTGAGCAATTAGTGGTTGAAGGATGCTTGGTCCGTGAAATTGCTGGAGTGCCTGGTTGAAAGTGGGTTGCATGAAGCCAGATTACTATCTGCCCTCCCCCTCCTCCCTTCCACTGTCTCTGCTTCCTGCATCCTCGTCCCCCCACCCCGCCCACTGGCTTTCTTCGACTCCCTCCCCCTGTCTTCCGCCTGTTCCCCCCCACCCCGCCCATCCCCCTTCATCCCCAGGAGCGCATGGCTGTAGTCCCCGCGTTCACTGCCTTCAGGGCGTGCCTGCCGCCTCCCACTGCCCTCACAGCACGCCGCGTCGCCTCCTCCCTCACCTCGTTCCCCTCCCCCTGCTTTCCCTTGTGAGCCCCAGGTGCGCCTGGCCCTGGTGCCCACCTTCACTGCGTTCATGCGAGTCTGCCCGCCTCCCACCGCCCCAGTGCGCGCACCTGCTGCCGCGCCTGCTGTGGCGCCAGGGGGTGGCGCCCGAGGAGATGGAGGCGCAGGAGAGAGCAGCTCGGGCAGCAGCAGAGGCAGCAGAGGCAGCAGAGGCGGCAGAGGCGGCAGAGGCAGCAGAGGCAGCAGTAATGGCAGCAATGGCAGCAGCAGCAGCAGCAGCGAAGGCAGAGGCAGAGGCAGAAGCAGCAGCAGCAGCAGAGGGAGCAGAGGGAGCAGAGGGAGCAGAGGGGGCAGAGGGGGTAGTTGGAGTAGAGGGAGGAGAGGTGGGAGCGGGTTGCGCTCCAGCTGCAGTGGCAGCTGCCAGTGAAGGCGTGGAGAGTGGAGGCAGGCGACCAGAGGGGCTGGTCGTCACTCCCTTGAACCCACCTCCTGATACGGACAGCCGACGTGCAGAGGGCACTGTTGCTCAAGGCCCCACTAAAGTGGGATTCGTTATCAGTAGCGGTCTAAGCCAGGAGGCAAGTGTAGACGATGATGAGTATGTGGACAGCCCCCGGTACCCCCTGCTAGTGCCCTCCTGGGTGCTCCTGGGGGTGCTGCTGGTGCAGATGCTGTTGGTACTGTGGATTCTGCTGGTGCTGCGGGTGCTGCTGGTGCTGTAGGTGCGGATGCTGCTGGTGTGAGCGATGGCAATGAGAGAGGGGAGAGGGCGGCTGGGACAGATGGAGAGGGGAGAATCCAGGATGGAGGAGAGGAGGGAAATGAGGGACTGCGAGGGGAGACAGGGGATCTGCACGGAGAGAACCCAGGAGCGGAGCAGCGAGGGGATGAGGGGGAGAAGAAATCAAGTGCCAAGGTGTGGGGAGAAGAGGCAGGATCAGGAGGGGTTAGCTCGGTTGTGGGGAGGAGGGAGGCAGGGGGGAGGGAGGAGAGTACTGGGCTTTGGGCGAAGCTGATGAGTGGATTGGCTGGTCTCGGGGCAGGTGGTTTGCTGGGGGAGATGGCATCTGGGGCAGGCGTGGAGGGTGTGGGAAGGGATGTGGACAGTAAGTGTGAGGGGTCGAGTGTGGGGTTGAGTGAGGGAACCAGGGAAGATAGTGTGAGTGAAGGGAGTGTGGAAGGGAAAGAGGAGGGAGAGGCGGAGGGAGCAGAAGGAGCAGAGGGGAGACTGCAGGGCAAATGGGCAGAGGTGAGAGGGGACCTTGGTGGTGAAGGTGAGGGTGCACCTGAGGGTGATTCTGGTCGGGGTGATTCTAATGAGAGTGATGCTGGCACACGAGGTGTGGCAGCAAATGGATCGCATATGGGCGATTCTGCTGGTGGTGGCTGTGCGGCTGCTCCTGCTGGCAGCCACAGGGGAGCTGCAGGAGGAGCGTGTGGGAAAGAGGGGGAAGAAAAGGGACGGGAGGGAGGAGGCAGTGAGGGAGAGGGAGGATGGAGGGATGGGGAGGATAGAGGGACTAGTGAGAAGGGGGAAGGAGTGAGGAGAATTGGGGAGCAAGGAGGCAGCAAAAAGGGGGAAGAGGGAGGAGAGAGAGAGGGGGAGGAAGGAGGCAGCAGAGAGGGGGAAGGAGGAGGGGGGAGAGAGTATGGTGTGGGTGTGGAGGCGGTGTGGGACCGTGGAGGAGAGGGGACAGGTGAAGAGCCAGGGGATATGAGCAGAGTGGCAGCAGGAGAAGGGAACAGTGAGGCGGGCAGCGAGGGGGATCCAGGGCAGGACGGAAGGGGGAGCAGTACGGAGAAGGTCGGGCATGCACTCAGCACAGCACAGGAGGGAGGGGAGCACGAGCGTCACAGTGAACGTGTTGGACAGGGAGAGCACCAACCCAGAGCCAACCAGCAAGATGGGCAGCGACATGCCAGCAACGCGGATGAGGGAGAGGGGCACCCAACTGGAACGACGCGGCAAGGGGCGGAGAACTACTCTGCCAGCAGCGGTCAAGAGGGGGCGGAGCATGGGTATCCTCCGTTAGGCCCCGCGAGGGGGGGAGTGAGCGTGGTCCCTCCAGCAGCGGGCAGCAGTGTGGGGAGTATCGGTGCCTATCAGAGAGCTCTCAGAACGACCCCCCTGCGAGCAGTGCGCAGGAGGGCGGGGAGTATCGGCTGCAGGTGCAGGTGGGCACGCCGGCGCCCAACACTGTGCGTGTCCATGTGGCGGCTGCTGACTCGCCGAGGCCTCTGGTGCTGGGCGGCAGCAACCCGAGTGCGCAGCTGAGGACCCTGCCCAGCCGCAACCGCCTGCGGCCGCAGCTGAGGCTGCCAGGGCGGGAGAGCAGCTGGCACCTGCGACTTGCTGCACTCAGGTGAGTGGTGCTCTAGCTGGCTGGGTCAGGAACTCCTAGTGGGTGGGGATCTCATAGTGGGTGGGGATCTCATAGTGGGTGGGGATCTCATAGTGGGTGGGGATCTCATAGTGGGTGGGGATCTCATAGTGGGTGGGGATCTCATAGTGGGTGGGGATCTCATAGTGGGTGGGGATCTCATAGTGGGTGGGGATCTCATAGTGGGTGGGGATCTCATAGTGGGTGGGGATCTCATAGTGGGTGGTGATCTCATAGTGGGTGGGGAATTTTTGGCCTCTGGAAAGGAAAGCTAGGGACGACTTGCTGCCTCGTGCTCTCACCCTGCCATCTCGTGCTCTCACCCTGCCATCTCGTGTTTGCAGGTATGTTTCTAGAATCTCCCAGAAAGTCCTACGTCTTGTGCTTGTCGTCTCATGCCTGCCCAGTTCCCGTTGATGCCTTTCTTGCGCCAACATTGATACCCCTCCCTGGCATGAGAAGAATGCCAAGTCCCTGGCATTCTTATCAGTCAGTCTGTCGCCATTCGTCTCGTGTCTTCAATGTTTTCCTCCTCGCCCTATTCATTGACGTTTACCACAGCAGGCCTCGGCTACTCTCCCTATACAAGTACGCCCCCTCCTTTTCCCCCTAGCTTCTCCTCCCCCACCTGCCAGGCCCCGGGCATGGCTCAGCTGCTGCCTCCCAGCAGTGTATCCCTGCCCTCACACTTTGCCCCCTCCCCTCCCCTCCCCTCCCCATTTGTTTCCTTCCACTCCTTTCACTCCCACGCGCCCCTCCTCTCCCCCACCAGCCAAGCCTCAGACGTGGCTCAGCTGCTGCCGCCCAACAGCACCTCCCTGCCCCTCCTCGTTGACCTCGTGCTCACTCTCTGCAGGTAACAACCGGTGCAGGTGATATCTAGTTCAGGTAACATCTGGCGCAGGTACTTTTGATGCAAGCGTCAGCCAGTACACATAACACCCAGTGCAGATAGCTACCGGTGCAGGCGATAACCAGTGCACGTAACAACCGGCTTTGCTCCGCAGCTCCTGTGTGCAGGTCCTATCTAAAACCTCCTGGTTCCTACTCCCCTGCTCTCTTCCTTTATTGTGTTGTGCGGCATCCTTCAATTTTACTCCACACTACCAGGCCACAACCCCTTGCTGCTCTCCCCCTTGCGTCACACACCCTTGCTCTCCCTTCTCTTTCTCCTCCCTCCGCCAACATCCCTTGCTCTCTCCTCTCTCCTCTCCCCTCCCCTCCCCGCCCCTCGCCCCCTGTCCACAATCACCCCGCACCACACCCCGCACCACCCACCACCACTGCGACTCTGCCCTCCTTATTGCTGCGCCTCTTCCCCATGCCCCTTCACCATGCCCCTTCCCCATGCCCCT